CAGGCTCTGCCTCCTACAGGCAGCTGACCGCTGGCAGGGGTGGGTCATTTGCTCCCTCCAGTTGCCCTGGCAACCCACAGGTGGGCTCCTATTCCCTGCTAGGGCTCCCTATGCACTGCCAGAGCTTTTCCTCTGGCAGTTTCTGCCCCTCTAAGAGCAGGGCACCTCGGTGCTCTGCGACAGGCCAGACTTGGTGTAGACAGACATGAAGAAATGGAGCTAGATTCACTACCCAAACTGCAGGTCCCTAATAGGAAATGTGAATACTCATAAATTCCTTTAGCCAGATTGTAGTCATGGATCTTCTGAGGAGCTCTGATGGAGTTTAAACTCACTGTCCCTGCTAACAAGCAGTGATACCATCATTTATTTTCTTTCCCTAGGTGTTGAATTCATTATTTGCTAATTGTCTCCCAATATTACTGATAGAGAAAGGGGATGTAGATCATACCCAAAATAACTAGAAAACTTCTGATGGTTGTAGTATTTTGGTAGTTGGACATTGCCTTCTGGGTCTTCATCATTTCTAGAACTCTAGCCTTGAACACAGACCTTTTGGGGATTATATCAGTATGTCAGGCAATTTTAAATTAACAGCAACTTTAATGTTATTACAAATAGCATCACTGTTTGCAGGATATACTAGAATACGATCCTGCTCCCATTGGAATCGATATGAATTTTGACAAATGACTAAATCAGGTGCTTGGTGAACATTTCACGAGCTATAGATGTCTTGATGACTTCTCCCAGGTCTTCATTATCAATAGTCATATTCACATTTTGGTTTAAATAATTTAACTACAAGATTTTCAAATAGTATTTGTAATGTATTTTTTGTCACCAGAATGAAGGTCTCTTATCGAGGGCATTTCCTGCATAATATTTACCCCTGTGCCTTTATAGATTCTCCTGAATTTCGATCAACTCAGATGAACCGGGGTGAGAAATTCCAGGTACATTTTTGTTTGGCTGTCACTGAAAATAAACGATAAGAAAATGTTAAAAGAATCGATTTTATGTGCAGTGAATTATTTGGCTTATGTGATTTTACTAAATTTCTTATATTTAATGGTATTTAAAAGATAACCCTGGCCAAGGTACTTCATAGCAAAATTCTGTTGATTTGTTCATTGACAGATCTCAGTATTGGCTCTTTAAAAGCTGTGTTCCCCTATGGTTCATAAACTGTTGTTCTGCATTTAAAAAAAGTGCTCCCTTATTCAGGACAGACAAGTTGAAATGGGGTTTATATGTATCAATAAGATAGTAAACAAAGTATTAACAAAGGTTAAATAAATATAATCTTTTCTTTCTTTCTTTTTTGGTTTCAGTTACAGCAATCTTGGGTGTTACTTATAGTAATAGTTTAAAAAAACAAAAAAACAATTACGAGTATGAAGACATAATATGAATTTGAAGATCATCTCAAAATGAAATGAATTAATTGCCTTAGGAACCACATTTGTATTGGCTGAATCTGTACTCATTCTTAATACATTAGGGAAGATGGATTTTAATATAAAATTACATATATCTAGTATTTTTAATGACACTTAAGCTGGAATATCATTTCCACTAACAAAATATTCTGCTTCTGAACAACATAAAGGACCCCTAAGTAATTTATGCACTAGTGTGCCACAGGTAAAAAAATATAAAGGAGATAGTGTTGTTTTGTTCAAATATTGAGAGCAACATCTAGATGTTTTGCTGGTCCCATAACAAGTTGTTATTTTTAACTATGAATGTGCATTGGTTACTGGACTGTGACTGAACTTGATATACCCATAATCTTATCATGGCAGAAAAGGAGCTAGCTGCTTTAGGGAAGCTAAAATCAGTGATTGATGTAATATGTTCCAATCTAGAACTAGGCATAATGCCAGGGTAAGATGCTTGTCAAGATATATTCATTGCCATGCCAGAAAGAAATCCTGTTTGCTCTTAGTCCTCTCAGTACAACTTTTGTTACAAGATAATCAGCTATTGATTAATACTGTTGAAGGGAACTAGGTTGGGCATCTAAAACTTCTCTTATCTTACAAGATGATAATAGTTTTCCTTCACTTTAATCCTAAATATTTTTTTTTCTGTAACTACCTTCATGCAAGATATATTTAATCTTTTCACTCTATAAGATAGCCTACACTGATGAATGAATACAGGCAGTCCTCGACTTACAATGTTTTGAGTTGCAACATTTCGCTCTTACAGCATTTCTAAATTGACACCCTGTTTCAAATTTCTGACATCAGTTTCAATTTACAATGCTTGATCTTGCGTCCAGGATTAAGGACAACAAAAAGTCCTTTTTCAAGTATATTGGGAGCAAGAAGAGGGCACCAGGCAATGTAGTGCCCCTGCAAGACTCAAATGGTAACCTTGTGCTTATGCCAGATGAGAAAGCCGACATTTTTAACAGTTTCTTTGCCTGTTTTCTTGAACAGGGACTGGGACATCCCTCCTGCCAGAGGTAAGGACAGTCTTGGGGATAGCTCTGACAGGCCTTGGGTCAGCGCAGAGGTAGTTAGGTATCTTCTGGAAGGGCTGGACATTTTTAAATCTGCAGGTCCAGATGCCCTCCACCCAAGGGTGTTGAGGGAGCTGGCAGGGGTCATTCCGGAGCCCTTGGCACAGCTGTACAAGCATTCGTGGTCATCTGGCCAGGTGCCGGGGGATTGGAAACTAGCTAATGTGGTCCCCATTTTTAAGAAAGGGAGGAAGGAGGACCCAAGTAACTATAAGCCCGGAAGCCTCACCTCGGTCCTCGAGAGGATCATCAAGGAGCACATCTGTGAGGGGCCAGCAGGGGAGATCATGCTCAGGGGCAGCCAGCATGGGTTCATCAAAGGCAGGTCCTGCCTGACTAACCTGAGTGCCTTTTATGATAAGGTAACTAAATCCTTGGATGATGGTGTCGCCATGGACATAGTCTTTCTAGACTTTAAGAAGGACTTTGACACTGTCTCTCACCCCATTCTCATTAATAAATTAAGCAACTGTAGCATTGTTGCCTACACAGTTGTATGGGTAAAAAACTGGCTGATGGGGCGCACCCAGAGAGTAGTGGTGGAGGGGTTGTACTCAACCTGGTGAGATGTGAGCAGTGGGGTCCCCCAGGGCTCAGTCCTTGGGCCCACCCTGTTTAACATCTTCATCAGTGACTTGGACGAGGGGGTTGAAAGCACATTGTCCAAGTTTGCTGATGATACTAAGATGTGGGGCAAGGTGGGGAGTCATTATTGACTCCAAGATGAACATGAGCCGCCAATGCCAGACCGCAGCCAAGAAGGCCAGCCATACCTTGTCATGCATCCAAAGATGGATCTCAAGCCAGTCCAGAGAGATGATGCTCCCCCTCTAAGCGACATTGGTCAGGCTGCAATTGGAGTACTGTGTCCAGTACTGGGCACCACACTTTAAAAAGGATGTGGCCAGCCTGGACAGAGTTCAGAGGCGGGCCACCCATTTAGTGAGAGGGCAGCAGGACAGGCCGTATGAGGAGAGGCTGAGGGACCTGAACCTGTTCAGCCTCAGCAAGAGGAGGCTGAGGGGGGACCTGGTGGCTGCCTACAAGCTCATCAGGGGAGATCATCAGCAAATAGGTAGAGCCCTTTTCTCCCCAGCACCACCTGGGGTGACGAGGAACAATGGTAACAAGCTGATGGAGAATAGGTTTAGGTTAGAGAGCAGGAGGCAATATTTCACAGTTAGGGTGGCCAGAACCTGGAACCATCTTCCCAGGGAAGTAGTCCTCCCCCCTACCTTGGGTTAATTCAGAAAGAGGTTAGACGATCACCTGTCTGGGGTCTTGTGAACCCAGCATTCGTTCCTGCCTGTGGCAGGGGGTCAGGCTAGATAATCTGTTCAGGTCCCTCCTGACTCTAGCTACTATGAAACTATCTGATGTGACGCCATGCCAGCAAACAAGTCGCTGCGTCTCCCTGGAGAACATCTGTCCAAACTTACTTGGACACTTTCTTTAAGAAAGCAGACAAGACTCCAGAAGAACCTGCAGCCAAGACTCCTGAAAAGAATCTAGCCAAGAACCCTTCAAAAAGTCCAACCAAGATGCTGTCAAAAAGTTCAGCAGAGTCACCTCAAAGAACTCCTTCCAAATCAATATGATTGCTATTTACAATATAAATACATTAATGTAGCTATAGTACTCATCTATAATTGATTGACTACAAAATTCTGGGTTATTTTTGGTGAAAACAGGGTATCAGGCCTCGGTTCAGGAGCCAATCCCCTATCTATAACATTGTTTCCTATGGGGAAAAATCAGTTCAGAATTCCAATGTTTCGACTTAAGACACTATTTTCAGGAACCATTTGTATCATAAGTCCGAGGACTGCCTGTATTATTCTCAAGTGTGAGTCCTTAAAAATATTATTAAAATGATTAAAATCTCTGTAGAGTATGTGATAGCATTGTTAACCCCCTGAACTTTAAATCTCTTTTTTGAGATAAAAGATTTACAAATATTATATACAAGTTAAGTAGCCACAACATTCCTTCTTTAAATACATGCATGTTTCTGTCAAATATTCCATTGAAATATGTGACACTAACCTATACTATGCTGATTTGTGTGCCACTGCCCTCTGCTGACCAATATGACAGAACTGCTCAAGACTTTATGTATTTCTAATGGTGTTTCTGAAAAGAGGATGCAGATTTATCCCAAAGCTCCTAAGCAGTGCTATTCTTGATGGATCAAACTGATTCCTTAGAAGACTATGTTTATAAAGTCCTGAGTTATAGAAAGTTAGGTAAAATCAGGCTGTAATAATTTGTATGAGATTTCAAAACTTTAAAAATCTCTCTTATTATACCAGTTTTGAAAACTACCAATTGTTCCTATTTTTAGAAGCAATATGAGTAAATATACCTGTAGAGCTACTTATATAAGTAAAACGATTTATAAATGTGTTTACAGGCATGGCCTTATGAGCAATTTATATCCTTATTAACCTTGTGAAAATCTTCCTACATTTTTCTTTTTTAAAATTTCAACTGAAAACCCTTCCTGTGTCCCTAAATAATGAAATGAAACAAAAAAAAAACAAACCCCTAAACAAATTTAAGCCTTGGAGGTACTTTTAAGTAAGGGATATTGTTATCCCTTAACAAAAAGCCAGTTATTGTTTTAATAATTGTTTTTGTGGAAAAACCAAATAAAATACAGTAGGTGCTATATGTGCAATTAATGTGAAGCAGTAAACTCTGGAGCAGTTTGAGCTGGAGTAAACTATTCTCTGGTGCAGCACTTACACATGTGCCCAGGACAGCAGCAATTTGAGCTGGGGTGGAGCAGGACCAGGCTGGGAGAAGGCACAGTAGGGTCAGCTCCAGGCTCTGGGTGGCAGTGGCAGAGGAGCTGGCTGGGACATGAGAGTGCTGAAAGTGCTAAGCCTTGTGGCTTGGCAACAGGTAAGAGTCTGGCCCCTGGCTGCCTGGGCTTACCGGGTGCAATTTACACCCATGGTCAGCATCTACACATGCAGTTAATTGCAGTAAATTGCCCTGACATAACAGTACTGTCTCTGACAGTACTAATTTACTGTGGCGTTGATTAGTTTACTGCAGCCTAATACTGTCAAATATGTAGACAGTGGCGCTTTACTGTGGGGCTAATTTGTCTACTCTGCAGTTAAGCGCATGTGTAGACATGGCCAGTATGACATGTTTTCAAACAGTGTCATGATGCTAATTCAGTACACACACCTTTTTTTTAGGTCACCATTGTTGCTGATGATAACTGCAAGTTCCTGTGCTGGTCCAGAGAAAGGTTGACATATTTTTTGGAAGCTGAACCATTTCTGTATGAAATATTCAGATACCTTATTGGTAAAGACATCACAAACAAACTCTACTCATTAAATGACCCAACATTAAATGATAAGGTAAGTTGCTGGACTTTGGTTTTCTAACATTTACTATATTGTTAACTTAGACCAGGGATGGTCAAGCCCCAGCCCAACAGCCAGATCCAGCCTGCAGTGCCTTTATCATCCAGGCTCCCCACAGGTCTGGATACTTAGTGGTGGAAGGAGTGGTGCCACCACTCCCCTGCTGCCAAATTTCTGGGCCCTGCATGCCAGATCAGGTGCCCAATCCCAGCATGTAGAGCCAAGTGGGGAGGGTGATGGGCCCTGCATCCTGGGCCCCAGTCCCAGCATGCAGGAGCAGTGCTGAGGCTCAGGGTCCAATCCAAGTGTAGGGGGCCCAGAGGGGGCAGCACCCAGAGGGGCCCCCCCAGAGCCCAATCCTTACGTGTGGTGGTAGGAGGGAGTGGCACCTGGTCCCAGGATCCAGTGCTGGCACACAGGGCTCAACAAGGCCCACACATTGGCCCTGTGCCACTCATCTGGCCGGTGAGGCCAAAAGCACCCCTGAGTTAGACTGTGGCCTATCTTTCTTTTCCTAAGCTTGCTTATTCAAATATGAAATTCATGCATATGTCCTCACCCCAACACACAAACACCCCCCCGGAAATGTACTTTTCCCCCCTCAGCTGTGAAACCAGCAGGCTGTGGGCTGTACATACCTGTAAGGGGCTAAATTGTAGTCTGTAGGGGTGACTCGCATGGCTTCTGAACCCAGGGGGTGAATGCCACCGCTGCTCACCTCACCCGTTAGCCAGCCACTGAATTTGGGGTCTTTGGTTATCATTGGCAACTAAAATCAGTAATAAGGGAAAAAGGGGGAGAAGACAGAAGCATTCACCTCCTGGGTTCCAGAGATGTGCAGGTAAGCTGTAGTCCTGCCACTGAAAATAGATCACCTGGCTCACAAGAAGCACACTGGTCCAGATCCAGCCTGAGGAGCCAAATGAGTGGACACATCCACATTAGATGGTGAAGATAATAGGTATCTCCACCCAGCCTAGCATAAGTCCTACTGGTTAGGGAACTCTCCTGGAAGGTGGAAAATGAGGGTTTAAATTCTCCCACTTCCTGGGTGAGTGTAAATTGTTACATAAAAGGTAGGCACTGTCACCATTCTCTCCTCTTATGCTTTTGAGTGAGGGGCTAGGGACAGACATTCAAAAAGCCAGAGCCTGAATTGATTCAACCTTTGCAGGTTTGTCTAACCTGCCTACATTGAACTAATTTGCAAGTGACTAGACATCCCTGAGTTAAAAGTGAAAATGCAGGCACATGCCTGCAGTGGATCAGGCCAGAAGCCAGAGGGCACTAGAGCATGGCCTTGGCTGCAGGGAAGCTGTGCTGGGGGTGGGGGAGGGCATGGCCAGCCCTGGCAGTAACCTCAAGTGAACTGGCCAGGGAAGGGGTTTAATTCCCCCCTCCCTGTCCCACTGGGGGTTCCAAGCCAGGAACCCCCTGGTGCTCCCCCCTCACTGCTGTAGGGCCAGGGGCATGGCCCCCTGAGGCAATGGGGACAGGGAGGGAGTTTTTTGCCCCCTCAGCCTCGTCGGGACCGTAGCCAGGGTCTGCCAGCCCCAACTGCAGTGCTGAGGCTCAGGGCCAATGTATCTAAAAAACAAGAAATTGTTTTTTAGATATATTGGGAGTAAAAGGAAGGCCCAGGGAGGAATAGGACCCCTGCTAAATGGGCAGAAACAATTGGTGACGGACAGAGGGGACAAGGCTGAACTCCTCAACGAGTTCTTTGCCTCAGTGTTCCTAAGTGAGGGGCACGACAAGTCTCTCACTGGGGTTGTAGAGAGGCAGCAGCAAGGCGCCAGACTACCATGCGTAGACCCTGAGATGGTGCAGAGTCATTTGGAAGAACTGGATGCCTTTAAGTCGGCAGGCCCAGATGAGCTCCATCCGAGGGTGCTGAAGGCACTGGCCGACATCATTGCAGAGCCACTGGCGGGAATATTTGAAAGCTCTTCTCTGGCCAGGTCTCACTGTACAGCTATGACCCAGGAGAGCGTGTGCTCTTTGCTGGGGTGGTGGAGCCAGTTCTGTGGTCCATCATCCTCCATCCTTGGCAAAGTCTTTGAAAAAATTATCAAGGCTCACATTTGTGAGAGCCCGGCAGGACAAATTATGCTGAGGGGAAACCAGCACGGGTTCATGGCAGGCAGATCGTGCCTGACCAATCTAGTTTCTTTTTATGACCAGGTTACGAAATGCCTGGACACAGGAGGAGGGGTGGATGTCGTATACTTAGACTTCAGGAAGGCCTTCGATACGGTATCCCACCCCATACTGGTGAACAAGTTAAGAGACTGTGACTTGGATGACTACACAGTCCGGTGGGTGG